CCAAAATTTGGCCCAGTGTAGAGGGCCAAATTTTAGAAACGCCTCTTCTGAAAAAACTATCAGAAAAAGGCATGCAATTTGCATACCTTTTTCTGATAGATCATTTTAGTGTAGACATAGCCTGAGATTTTTTTTTCCAGTGGCACTTAGCTTGTAATTGACTGAAGCATGAAATGCTAAAAGAATTCCCAAGTATGGAGCATAATTTGTGGGCCTGAGAGGGGCACGCAACCGAACTATCAATCTGCAGTGAGCTTTGAGTGAAGACAAAGAACCACAGCTGTGCCAGAAAGCAGTTATCGCTGCTTACTGAAACATAAGCTATTCATAAAGGGAGAAAATAGCACTCTGCTTAGTGTTATGCAGAATGTCTCAGGTGGCAAAGGACTAGGATGTGTAGAATTTGGTGTGTTAGTTAGCTCATTAATTTTCCTGGCATGTACCAGGCACTGACTTGTGAATGCTGCTCTGTGCCCCCTCATACTACGTACGAAAGAGCCATGGCACTGACACTACATGGACAGCAGTCGCTCTTGGTACTCCCCCTCCCCCCCCCATTAGCAAAAATACCATATTTATCATATATGATGATGTAAAGATGGTTAAGCCAAAGAAGGGAAGTTTCAGGGGCTACATGAATCCTAGCCCAAATTGCTTTGGATTCTTTGAGCTTTCACCTTCAGCAGCATGCCAGGGCTTACTTGCTGCACAATCAGCTGTATCAGTGAGCCAGGCATTGGTGTTTGCTAGAAATCAACTTATCTATTCTGGCAGACTTTATTAGTGACCAAAAAGATAGTAGACCCATTCTGGACCAGTACCACGTGACTTCCAGGGGTTAGCTAAGAACAAAACTGAAGTTAGCGAGGACATGGCATGACTGCACAGCTGATAATGCAAGTGCAAGGAAATAGTTTTACTTCAGTTGCTCAACCCTTTCATACAAACTTTGGACAAAGACTTAGGAGAAAAACCCCTTCCGCTCAAGGACCAACATTATCTAAGGAAAAACTTTTAGGCTTGTAGCACTTTGAAGACTAACAAAACATGTAGATGGTATCATGAGCTTTTGAGGGCACAATCCTCTTCAGACCTGGACTTCTAACACCCTGTCATCTGAAGAAGGGGGTTGTGCCCTCAAAAGCTCATGATACCATCTACATGTTTTGTTAGTCTTCAAAGTGCTACAAGACTATGTGTTTAAGTTTTTCCTATTACAGACTAACTCAGTTACCCCTGTGAAACTTTTGATTATCTAAGGAGTGAGTCAGCAGAGTATCACATTTGAGATCCCACATTTTAGAACAGGGTAAAATGTGTTTGTTTTTAAACAAAGTTTACATCTAATGAACACTTAAATTACAGCCTGGTACTTGTCACTTTGGAATGTGATTTACCAACACTGCAATTATATTAAACCACTTACTGAGGTGACTTACAGTACTGAGTTGCTCATCTGAAACTAGGAATATAATAGTGTATAGTCAATTAACTGATAAGCAAAAGCATTCGCTTAATGCTCTAGACTACACACATTTCTCCTCTCCCTCCCCCCTGCTTTTTTAGTAGGCTGGACAGCAGCCCAGCTCTGTCCTGGCTTGTGCCAGATCCAGTACCTACCCCTGCTACAGCTCTGCATTGGAGTGTATAGACTGCAGGCAGGCCAGTTTAGTCCCAGCTCATGACAGGGCTGGGAGCTCAGACCCACCCCACCCCCAGAGCTGCTGCCACCCTGCACTGCTACCTCTATTAGAAGCAACAGTGCAGGGTGACAAAGGCTGGTCTGCCAGGGGAGCTAGTTCTTAAACTGGCTCCCCTCACTAGCCAGCTCCCACATGGCATCCCATGCTGCTGCCCAAGAGGCAGAAGCAGTGAGTGGCAGGGGGTCCTTGAGAATGGGACTGGATTGTACTGGCTGCCTGCTTCACCCCCAGGGACTATAAAATAGCCAGCTGATCTATAAGAACTCATGAGGTGAATTGACTATTCAATAAACCAATATTTAACATGCCTCTGAGAAAGTGATAAAATTAAAGTGTCCACATGAGGGAGTTGCTGCTCACATTGTGGTTATATCTGAAATTGCAAAAAACTTTAAAGAGACAAGCCATTAAGTTTATTATTCAGCACTTCTGTCACTTAGATAAAAGACACGTGAACAGAGCCAAAATGAGAGCAGAAGGGAGCAGCTGGCTGTACCCATGACATGTGTTAATGTTACAGATTGAGGTAGGTTAACTTGTAACATTAACAAGTACCAGTCAACATTCCAAGTCCCTAGAAAGGGCTGTCACTCAGGATTTGCATCTTCCTCACACACTAGCAAGTGAACCTCCCCAGGAATAAAGCTGTGATTATGGGCTAGATGCAGAGTCCCATCTCATTGCTAACTCCTCCTAGCCTGGAAGTGGGATACCTGTAGCTATGTATTCAACTGAACAGAAATACATGGGGGGGAGAAATCCATCACTGTTTACTGTAACAAATCTATTCTGACCTAAGAACTTTTCCTGAAACACTCACTAACTAAACCTTTGAAGAAGCTATTGGAATTAGAAAGGCATACCCAACCCTTCCACTGTTAAGGTGGAGCTATTTTAGTTCTAGGCTAGCTATATTCCCTTATTCAATCTGGACTGCCATAAGGTGACAGGCAGAAAGCGCAAGGAACTGTTTTATTCTTGCATCCTAGTGAGGACCAGAAAAGCAATGGGGACATGCTCCAGGTCTGTCAAGCAGATGCATTGTCAAGTGATCATCCTCTAGCCAGGATAACACCTCAATAAAAGCTGGGTACAGTATTGAAGATGTTGTAATACACTAACCCTCAGCAGTACAGACTTTACCTAAGACGACAAGACAGCAGCTTACTTTCACTAACACTTATTTTCCTATCAAAACCTGCTTCATTGGGATTACTTTAGATAGGTGGGATACTATCAAGCCACTTGTCTGCTTAATCCTATCACTGATCAATCATGCACAACTGTTCAGTGGGCATAGTTTCATGGTTTGGCTGTAGCTGGCTCATGAAGCTATTCTGTATTTTTATATGAAGGTACATTCCCTCCCCCCCCACAATGCACTAGCTAAAAGTCTGCATCCTAGTGTTCTTTGAAGCCAAATACCCTTGCTTGTTAAAGAAGCTCAGCCAATACTCAGTATTAATAGCTTTAAATTCAGTTTTGTTTTATTAGTTTTGGTATCTCTTCCAGAGAGTTAATTACTTCAGCTTGCAGAACTGTGGGAGATGCAGAAAGTCCACTTCATTATGATGGCACTTCTTTGGACATGTCCCTTATTCACCTCAGACTACTAGGCAGGTGGATGTTAGGAGCCTGCGCTTGCATTCCAGTGTCTCAAGTAGTGACTTGCATGAAGTCTATTTGAAGGCAGTCTTAAGTTGCAGTGTGCTAGGATCAGGCTATACTACTGACAAGTATAAGGTCCTTGGCACAACACTTGCAGCAAGCACATTGTAGAGTTCAGCTTAAGAAACACATTAGACCAACAGGCATGACCTAGAATGGGTTTAATGAGTTTATTTTAGACAACCTACATGACAAGTTTTTAAAACAATGCCTCCACTCCAAATCAGGGTCAAGTAAGTGAATAAAGCTCAAGATGGTATCAGTCCAGTTGCTAGACACTGCTGAGTCCTGGTGTTGTGTTGATGAGGAAAGAGCAGCAGCAGCAAGTTATGACAAGGTGAATCCAAAATAGTTGCTCGGTTTTGTTACTGTAACAAGAATACAATGGTTATTGCATGTTCAGTCAAGCAATGGAGTCTATCTGGATGTGTTCCCCAATTCAGTCTGAACTGCCATGTGACCAGGCAGGCAGGCAGAAAGCACAAGGAATTTCCTTTTGCATCATAGTGCAAACCAAGGAGCAGCAGGAGACTTGCTCAAGGTCTATCAGAGGATGCATAGCATTTTTACAAGCTTTCAGAGATTCTGATGCTCTGAGCTTGCTCTGAGCTTTAAGAGGCAACAAATAAAAAGCACCTGGCCACTTAGATTTTTCTCCCCACCTCCACTGCGGGCAGGGCAGTGTGACCAGAAGGTAGCATAACAAGACTAATTCAAATACAAGTTAAGGTTCACAGGGGACATTACAGTGACTAAGTAAATGTCTAGTCCTGTGGCACCCTAGGGTAAGTCTACACTGCCACCCTAGTTCAAACTAGGGTGGCTAATGTAGGCATTCGAACTTGCAAATGAAGCCTGGAATTTAAATATCCCGGGCTTCACTTGCATGTTCCCGGGCAGCGCGGAGGAATAACGATAGTTCAAATTAGGAGCTTTAATTTGAACTACCTAATCCGTGCTGCTTGTAGCCACGGGCAGGTAGTTTGAACTACAGAGCATTTAAAAATGGCAGCAGCCACTTCAACCATGTGTATGTGTTAGTCTCTAGGGGTATCATGAGCTTGCAATGGTTTTGCTTATGAAAGATCGTAATGCTATATATGTTAATCTGAGGAGCCACATGACTATTTGCTTTTCAAGTTAGACTAACACGGCTACCCCTCTGAGATTAAAGTATACAGAACAAATCAAAGTGACTCTGAAGAGCTGCTGTGTGGCTGTTTCACTGTAGAGCATTCCAAGAGAACAAGCCATTTTACTGCTCTCCACCCTGGGAATCAGTGCTAGCCTTTCAGTGCACTGGTAGCCTGTGAAAAACCACATGGCTCTAAGAAGTCAGTGCTGCAGGAGTTAACTGGCATAGTTAGTGCTGTATCAAGCTTTTCAGTAACCTCCAAAATTAGAAAACAACTTTAGCTGGCTACTTTTAGGACACTTGTAAATTATCTGATACACAATACAGTCTGTCTCCGACTTATGAACCAAGCAACTGGTCATAACTTGGTTTGTTCATAAGTCGGATCCCATTGAGTTACATGCGACCATGTTGTTCGTAAGCGCGGGTCACATTTGTAACTCGGGGTCCACCATTTACAACACTTTTGGTCGTAACTGCGAACGGTCGTAAGTTGACCGTTTGCAACTCAGGGACCAGCTGTAGACTCCTGGATTCATGTGGTTAGATGAATCTTCTTCACAGCCACTTCAACCTGTAATCCTGCAGTACTGGCCCCATCTAATGGGAGGTATTTGCTGTGGCAGATGAGTCAAATACTAGCTTCACTACAGAATCAAATATAATTCCATCATGAATACCTGATGACTAGAGAACTGTCATCTGCATCAATCACCATAATCAACAGCAATTCTTCTTGGGTTGTGGCCCAACCCAAGAGTTTACCTTCTGATCGTAACCCCAGAAACAACACTGCTTATATATTAGGGTTTTACTTCATCTTAACAGTGCCTTAGTACTGCTAGGCATGAACCACTAGTAACACTATAGGGGGTGGTATGAAGGGAACCACCACTATAATGCACACCATGAAATATCAACTACTGTTCTGTTTACACTGGTATAGGAGTCATCTTGTAGTGGGACCACATCTTTGAGAAGAGGACTTTCTGTACTGTTTCCACTATAATTAAGAGTTTAATGCTAGAAGGAACCATTAGATCACTAGTCTGACTCCTATATATCCAAGCCATTTCATCAGTTACCGCCTCCACCCCC